TTTAAAATCACTTTTTAAAAGATAGTCGCTTAAGGAGACCTCTAAAAGACTTTTAGGAAATCTGCATACAGATACTTTGGATTCCGCACTCCAAGGTTATGTGGGGTTGGTGAAATAAAAAATTAAATATAAAACAATATAGAATAAGTAAAATAATAAGCTTAACAAGCTGGCGACCTACTGTCAACCCCGACCCACTAAAACCCGTAACCCTTCTTTTGGAGCCCTTTATCCAACCTCGGAACTATCGTAAGACTTTGGCCTTCGAGGGCGACGCTCCAGCTCTGTTGCTGGTGCGTCTTTGCTCTTGCTATGTTGATCTCCTGCGTCAATAATAAAAAAATAAAAACTATTTTGGTCCTTGAAAAAGTCTTCGCCTCCTCAAGGTCAGCTCAGAAGACCCTGCCAGTTTCACTACTCACAACGTGATAAATGTTTTTCATTTCTGGGAACTTCTCCTTGCACAAGATGCAAGTAGCGTTTCTCTTACAATCCACGACCTTGTGATCGATCGACTTCTCCGCACCTAAAGCACGCAGTCGATCTATCCATCATGTTGCATTCTCTTGCTAGGTGAAAATAGCACCAAACTATCATTAACCTCCTTCTGATCGGGCATGACATAAAACCAACCTTTATGCGTCCGAGCACTTTCAGCTTCTCAGCCTAATCCTGGTCGGTGGCAACAACTGCTAGTTTCATCCCCCGCTTTTTGGGTCCAAGGACCGTCAACTTTCTGCTTTCTGCCGGTTTCTTCATGACACCTGATAGTGCCTCCTGCACCTCGTCCTTTTGGGTAAGTCAATCCAGGTCGCGGATCTTCAAAGTAACCCTTCGGTCCGCGATCTGCACCTTACCCAAGTCACCCACTACTCTTGTCACTTCCACAGTAAACCCGTTCTTGTCTGAGGAACCTCCTAATGAGGAGGTCTCCCTTCTTGGCTGGTCTTGCTCCAACTACTCTTGTCTGACTTGCCTCCGAATTCACCTCCTTCCGGACCTTCCCCAGCACATCGGAAAATGACCTTCCTTCTGCGACCATGACAAACATTTTTGATCCTGCGCAGCCGACCTTGCCCTACTACCATGACCTGGCTTTGGCATCGGTGTCCTAGAAGGCGCTTCCTTCCTTTTCCTTTACCTCCTTTATCACCTCTGGATTACTTTCACTTTTCTTTCTTTTAAAAGAGCACTTTAGCCCAACATTTCTAATGACCTTTGCTTGGAATAGCTCTCATCTTCTCTTCCGATAGTCACGCATCTCTTTCCAAATGGACATACCGTGATGGACTCCAGCATCTATCGTACCTCTTCCTCGATCATTTCAATACAAGCCGCCTCCTTTTTTCGCAGATTAATACAAGTGTCCCTATCCTGATGGTCAATAGCGATAGCATCAGCAGAAGCGTTGCTGAAAACGCTAATGCAGCTGCCCACACTTAAGTCGCTTCTTTTTTTGGGTCCTAGTCCACCACTTTCCACGCTGGTGTGTATTCTTCTTGATCCGACACTTTTGTCTACTTGGATTCTTTCTACGATGATCTGTTGAATTTTTAAAGCTTTTTTGCCCTTTTGCATCCACGGGCCACCGGCCATCGCCCCCACGCCAAGCGCTTGACGATCGAAACCGAAAAGGGATTTAGCCGAAGCATTACCTTGCAGGTAGTCATTTTTTTACCGCTCATTTTGATGATTCGTGCTGTTTTAGTTGTTTTTTAGTGAAAAGCCTCCCCACCACGGCAAGGTCTACCGAACATATCCATGATGCCAATCATGTCTAGTAGTAGTAGTATTTAACATTGGCACTATACTGGCGTTGCGCTGTGTATATTCGGCCATGACCAGGTATATGCCAATCATGTCTGGCACTGGATAAGTAAAGCTTACAAATGGGATATCTGATTCCTTAGAAATCATTTGATAGAATTATCAGTCTTTCGAAATTTGTTATTTCGGATTAATATTCGAAATTATTGGTTCTTGATGCTAATATCAATAATGAGGCCAAATAATTTATTTGTAAACTGCGCTATTGAATAGTAATTATTTTTGGAATTTTGTAACATATGGAGTAAAGAAGATATTTTTTTATTTGCAACAAACTTATTTGAAAACTTTTGAAACTTGCAGAGAAGTTTGTATAAGATTTACATGTGTTGATTTGGTATCATATTTTTAAAGAAAATACAAAAAATTTTAAATAAAAATAATATTTCACTAGTTTACACAATTTTTAAAACTTGTACAAGATTTGAATTATACTTGTTACTCAAAAGTTTTTGGAGTTAATGATTTGATAATATTCGTTAATGGTATAGACTTGACTGGCCGCAATATATACAGGCACATAAAAATTTCATGACGCTGCTCCCAAGAATTGTAAGAGATGTAAAAGGAAACAGTATTTTATTATTTTCGAATCGATCAACATATTTGTGTTAAAACGTTTCATGCAACAAGAGGCCAAACGCAGTTACTATTTACGTTGATATTTGTAGCATGGGTGGCAATCGAAAGACGCCTGAGACATTAATGAATGCTTAGTAAATATCAACGTTTGTATCACGTTTTGCAACCGCTTGTCTGCTGTCGCCATTTCCTTAAACTTAAACATTTTTTAATTAAACTTGTGGGATTTTAAAAAACATTTAATCCACAATAGGGAATTTGCATCACATAAAAAAACTTTTTATTTGAATAGTTTAGCTTAAATTGTAATGTAATTTTTTTTTGCACAATTTTTAAAAGTCATTTTTATCGTTAAAATAAATAAAAAGTAATTAAAATTTCAAACAATATCAAAGACGCTCCGGAAAGAGCCGAGTCTGTCCGAACTACATGTGACGTCACGGGCATAAACCGATTGTACATTTATCAAGGGTTTTCTTGAAAATTTATATTGTTTTTAAAAATGAGCGAAAGTAAAACATTTAAATCGTGTTTTATACCATTGTGTGGAAGCAGCAGTGTCAAAACACCGAATAAATTATTTTTCTGTGCTCCCAAAGATGAGAAAATGAGATTAAAGTGGTTTCAAATTGCTCGTCGAAATGATTCTCCGAAGGCTAAATACACTTATTATTGTTGCGAGGATCACTTTAGTGTAAGTATAGTGTCACTACGCATTTTTTTATTTTATATTTACCGTATTATTAATATAAAAATTTCATTATTATATTATTATAGTAATAACAAACAATATGAACAACTTAACCTAAAATTTGACTTTGTTTTTAATGTAGATAAAGGATGATATGGATAATTATATTAGATATTGTCTTATGGGAGCACCAAAAAAATTGAAAAAAGATGCGATTCCTCACAAATTTTCTTGTCAGCCTAATCGAATAAAAGTAAACGAAGAAGCACGACCAGCGTTCATAAAATTAAATAGAAAGAGGCAAATTCACGACATTTTAGCAGAAACTGAAAATGAAGAAAATATTCCAGAAAAACAGCACGATCAACCAGCAGCAAAAATAAGAAAAAACTATGATACTCCTGTTGAATTATTAACCGATTTAACAAATCAAGAACAGTTACATGAAATGTCTTCTCACGAACCTTTGACGAGTGAAATTGAAAAGAACCCTGACGTCCCACTGTCAATTAAACTATCCTCTACACAGATTGACTTAAATTTTTCAACAGAAAATGAATCATTGAATTCCGAAAAATTATCACCTGCTAAAATAAACTGCGAACAGAAGAATCAAAAAAGTGTTGGTGTACAAGTAAGGAAAAGTTTCATGACACCTAATGTTCGAAGTAAGCATACCATGTGCAAGCCTAATACTCGTGAAGTAAGTTGTGAAGTTAAAGTAGAAATGGTTAACAAAATGTGTTCACCGATCAAGTTCCATAAAACAGAATCTACAGTATCTACTTTAATTAATTCCGATTCAAGTACGCCCGTTTCTTCGTCAAACACTACTGGCGAATACAAATATTCGTCAATTTCCAGCGAGTATAAAAAATCTTCAACTTGCAGTGAGGAAAAAAATGAAAAACAAAAAGAAATGAAAAAATCAGTCCTTGATATTACCCTATATTTAATCAGTTTAGATCCAAAAAAATATATTGGTGTTGAAAATGATTGGTTATGGATTTTACCTATGTTGAGTTCTTCTACTAATTGCAGTATCAATAATATCAAACTGACTAATGACACTTATAGTCGATTGGCTGATCAGTTTGGTATCTCAACTTCGCAGGCAAGCAGAATTTTCAACAAAACTGTTGATAAATTAGCTCACTATTTAAAGACACTAGTATTTTTTCCTGATCAAAATAGTATAAGAAAAAACTTGCCTATTGCATTTCGAGCTAATTATAATAGTGTGTGTGCTATTATTGATGCTTTTGAAACCGAAATTGAAAAGCCTTCAAATCCAGTCCATCAGGCTTTAACGTGGTCAGATTACAAGAAATGCAATACAATTAAGTATTTGATTGTATGTTCTCCCGATGGATTTGTCACCTTCATATCTCGCGGGTACGGAGGAAGAATAAGTGACACTTTGTTAACTGAGGAGAGCAATTTAATAAATATGTTACCAGCTGGATGTGGAGTCTTAGCTGATCGAGGCTTTAAGCACATTCAATCGATTTTAAACAAAAAAAAATGTAAATTGCTTCGTCCGCCATCTGTAACAACAACTTCAAAATCCACAAAAGCAGAAGTTCTTAAAACCAAAAGCATAGCAAGCTTAAGAATCCACATCGAAAGAGTAATTCGAAGAGTTCGAGAATTCCGAATATTAGTACCTCATTCTTGCCTTGATCTGAATACAGTGGTCAAATTGGACAGTATTGTAACCGTTGTTGGAGGTTTAATTAATTTACAAAAGCCAATAATTAGAAAATAAATTTTTCGGCGAGTTAAGTACCTGTAAAAATAGTAAAATAATTTTAATAATTATTTTTTCATGTATAATTCTTTTTTTAATAAAATATATTTATAATGATATTAATTGTAGGAAACAATAAAACAATATATCTATAGTAAAATATTTATTTATTAATGATCTCAAAAATCAGTTGCCAAAAGAGTTCAATAAAGCAGGAAAAATATTTTGCTTCCAGAAGTCCACAGAATTTTTTATTATTTTATTTGTGAAATTTTCATCATATTTAACCCATACGAATTGGAAATTTTTATTATTCTCAAACTTCGGATCTGCGACACAGAAAAGTCCTTTTTTCTTCTCAGCAGCCAACATTTGTAAATTAATTTGAGCTTTACATTTTTGACTAAGCTGACCATTTTTTAAATAATTCTCTATTGTCTTCTCGGAGCTTGGACACTTAACCTCTACGACAAATTCTGAATTTATGCCGTCTGGTGAAGCTGCTACCATAGGTAAAGATGGAACTAAAAACATACCACATTTATTTATTGAAAGTTTTAATTGTTTTTCAACCTCAGTTATAACTTTTTCTTCCAATTTTTTCCCTCGTTCCATTTCAACACTGTTATAAACTTTCGCTGCTCCTATAATTCGATTGACTAAACTACCTTCTGGTGTTTTACATCTACTAGCCTCAAAAATATTAGACGCAGTTACCCTTCCAAATCTGAGTTCATGCCACAAAATATCATTTGCTTGATTTCTAGTCTGTTGTTCAGCTTGAGAACATAAATCTTGAGAAAAATATTGTTTGGAATGCTTCAGAAAATTATCTATTGAAGTTTCTTCCTCGGATTGAATGAAATTAAATATAAGTTGATGTATTGACAATATATGAACTTTTCTCTCTTCTAAATCAAATGAATGTCTTGACAGCTGGCTATCTAATTGTTTGGCAGCAGCTTGTTGAAGTACTTGGTTTAAGAACGTTGAATTATCACCGAAATCTTCAACTGAATCATTAGACTTTTTTTTTAATTCACTAGCCAAAATAAATTTTTGTGAATCTCCGACTTTCGATAAGGCTGATTTTCTCCAGTAGCATTCCACATCAGTTGGAGATGGCGATTCGTATTTTCTGTTTGCCCACATTAAAAAAGCAATCCCATGTTTACATCCACCCAATGATGCAGCACAATCAAGACATTCCACTTTATCTACTATTTCTTTCTCTTCATCTATTTTTAACGTTACAGTGTAATTTTTATTTCTTACTCTGTGTTCAGGACAAATTCTGCCTTTCAATGTACATATTTTCCCTTGACGTTTTACACAAACATAACCTATTGCCGAGTCGCCGTAATTTTCTCTTGAAGATCTACAATAATAAGGAAATAATAAAAAATATAAAATTGTGTAAATTTAGACAGTATTTAATTAATAAATTAATTGATTTTAATAATACAAACATTAAAATTTACTTACAATGTTGCTTTGACTCCACGAACCTCGGGAGCATTATACCGCTCATTATTTGTAATATACTCATAAACCATAAATACACTTAATTTCGGTAAATTCGTAGTATCGGCTTTCTCAAATCCGGGATCTAATTTATTTACCATTTTAACTTGAAATCGACGGATTTTTTAAACAATTATTGCATAATATAAAATGATCACATGTGTAAATACACAGCAGACAATATTTCATTTATGCCCGTGACGTCATCAGCCTGAGAGCCAATCAAAATCGTTTGCTCTCAGCTGAGAAAAATTTAAATAATGTTAAAGTTTAAATTCATTTTTTAATGTTATTTGTGCATGAAATTAAAAAAAAAAATTCTATTCCTATCACAAGCGCCTCTATTTTCATTATATATTACAAAAATCGCTATATATTTTAAATGCAAATTCCCTATTAGGGACAAAATGATACAACATTGTAGGTAGTAACGAGAAAGTTACAATAATTTAATACTATGTCTGATGTTTAAAAACAATTATCTCCTTTAATTGAATAATTACGTAGTAAAATTTATAAAGTCCAAATGACAATTAAAAATCTTAAACTACTTATTGTTCTATAACAATAGCTTCTCCTTTCTCCGCTTAATACAAATTTTTAATAGTGTACAATATTTTCGCTGAACTTGATAAAAAAGAATTTTAAATAAAACTTCTCGCGGCAATACCATATATCAGAAGTCTGTAGAAATTCCAGAGGTCACTTTTCAAGGGATTTTTCTGCATTGATTGATTCTTGTATCATTCGAGAAATAAAGTATAATTTATGTAAATATAATAAAATTATAATAATAAAAATTTTGAGTTCTGACAGTAGTTTAGTAGTTCTTTTAATAAAGTACATAATTCAATCATTTCAATTTGCAAAAAAATAATTCTTAATGTAAACATTTATTTTTTGACGCGTTTACTCTCGTCACATTTTAAATTTTAACTTCTGTAAATTATTCCATTTGTTTAGAAAAATTGAGAAACAATGCGAGCAATAGATGAAGTTTATTTTAAAAGGAAAATATATCTCTGTCTATTAAATTATTTTTCAATCTTGAACCATTTTAATTCCACATTACAAATTTTAAATATTTTGTAAATGATTGTTTTCGTATTAAGGGAGAAATTTTATACTATATCCAGATTATAAATTCAGTTATTACAATTTTGTGACTTAATTCTAATATTATAATTCGATTCAGTAACTGCAAAACTCCCGAGTAACAAGTTTTAGTAAATTTAAAAAAATTTGATGCCACATTGAATCTAAATCACTGCTACTCAACTGGTATTTGGGTATGTCTCCGAGCGTCTGGCGAGTTATTAGATTCTTTCAATTGTTTTTTAAAGCTACTCTGATCCTTATATTAAAAGATTCTAAAATTCTAAAATTTATATCGATGGCTCCGAACGACACTATCTCAACTCATGTGCGTGCTAGTATTCTGTAGTAACTCTGAGACGTTCGTGTAAACTGTCTCAACTAGAATGGCGTGCAGTATTCTGTCTCAACTCTAGAGAGCCGCTGAATAATGTAGTAACTGTGAAATGAGCATTTTTAGAACGTGGTTATTAAACATTGCGGAGTGATTTAAAAATCGTTTTCAGATATATTTTTAACATATTATCACACGTTTTAGAATATTTAAGTTTGAAAACGATGTTTAGATCACTTCGCAATGTTTAATAAGCGCGTTCTCAAAATGCTCATTTCACAGTTACTACATTGTACAGCGGCTCTCTAGAGTTGAGACAGAATACAGCGCGCCATTTGAGTTGAGACAGTTTACACGAACGTCTCAGAGTTACTACAGAATACCAGCACGCGCGAGAGTTGAGATAGTGTCGTTTGGAGCAATCGATATGTTAAATGGATAATTTTTAGGAAAAAAATTTATGTAGACACCCTGGGAAATTGTTAAATTCACGTTTGACTATAGCGGCTAGCAAAGCGTCGCTTAATTATTCTTTTTACGTTTTCTACATAGCTACTCCTATATTCTCAATCCTTTCCACAATGAAAGGATTTCAGCTAGGCTTTTGGTAGCAATAACGGCCTCTCCAAGAAAGAAGTTTCCCATAATGTGTTCAGGCTCTCTCACAAGAGCGTGGCAGTGACCCGGAATGTGTATGGAGGTTTCATCCACCTCTATACTTATGGCATTTAGGATCTCCCACAATCCATTCCTTTTGGTACTCTGCTATCAGACAATGTTCGAATTCCAAGGCCAAGAATTTGTCAGAAAGACCAATTAGAGGCTTAGGCCCAATACATTGTTCTCCAGCACCACCTTTGGTTAGTTTATCCGCTTTATCATTACCAATGAATCCACTGTGACCAGGGACCCAAAGAAGAGTAACGCGTCTAATTCCAGACAATCCCGTTGAATGCCTTATGGCAATCACCGATCTAACGACGTCCAAAGATATTTCTAAAATACTTTTTGTCTTAAAGATGTGAAAAGCTTTCATAGACATAATCTTCCAGTCTTCGTTGTTTTCCTCCAGGTAGATTTTTTATTCCCTTCCTCAATGTCAGATCTCGAAACATGTATTCCACATCAGCTTGTTCTTTTTGTAGGTCTGTTAGGAAATAATAAAAACTTGGGTTAATTCGTCCAACTAATATTTGGAACCGATTGTGCCAACTCTCCGATGCGTTGTTCTTGCGCACTGAACTCTGAAGCTCAGAGTTGTAATGATTCCGAAGGGCCAGATCAGAGCGTACCTTTACCTTTATAGAATTTATTATTGCCAATTCGAAATCAGACAATTATTTTAGATTCTAATAGAGAGTAAACGAGAGGTAGAGCAATTTTTCGTTCAATACCCTTTTTGTTTTGGAGGACAAATACATTATTGTGAAGAATTGGAAAAAAATGGAAGAAACCGTTTGAAAGGTTCCGTCTACGTACCATACTTCTGATTTAAAAAGTTTTATTAAATCTTCTTTGTGCATTACAAAAACTAAAATTCTCCCACAATTTCTGGCATTTTCAATATTTTACATCTCCTTTATTATATGATCCGACATACAGAAAAGCTCCATGGTGTCCATACACATTACGACCTTTCACAGTGATTTCGGAACTCATGTAAAATCATTGTAACATTGATTGCAATAATTACATTAGAATTTTGAAATAATTTGTCACGTTTTAAATAATTTGGATGTCTGTACTGTACATTTCTTTGACTGTACATTTCTTTGAAATGACTTTATAATTTTGAAATAATTTATCACGTTTTAAATAATTTGAATGACTGCACTGAAGCTGCAGGGCACCAGTCTCCATTCTGACTGCATAATTAGGGATATTGTTTGGCAAGGCAAGGATACTGTTAAAAAACGCAAACTGAACCTATTCAATTTCATCGAAGAAATATATGCCCCAAACCTGGACCCCATAGAACAGGAAAATCAAAATAAGACTTTGCAGAAGCTTGTTATAAGTGGGCCATGACTCCAAATAGTCCTAAGAATACCCCCCCAGCATTTTTAGCAGCTGATTACCCTTGCTGCTGCCGGGAAGAATGAGTCTTTATTATTACTTCCGTCGATCGATCTATAGACGCGCCTCTACAATCTGCACTCATAATAAACGTTTCTAAATCCGCGATATATAATACTACCCTACAACGGAAGAACGTACCTAAGTGATGTAACTTTAGTCGAATTTTCTATAGATAAAGATAAAAAAATCAACCTAAGCGAAAACGCCACTTACGTAGGGAAGAATACATAGAAACAAATAGGGACTTAACACTGCCTCCTGTAAGACTCCTTTCATTACTATAAGACAATGACTTTATTTGGTATAAAAATATTGAAAACTCTATGTCTTTAAAATTGCTATTTTTATTTTTAAAATTGTTAAAAACAGTGCAAAATTGTTATTATATTATATTGTTACAATTATCACAGTTTTCTAAGCTTCAGGTCGACAATTATTTGCTGACTAAAATTACTGCATGAGATTTCTGTATTGTAAAGCTTCACTTTGACATAATTACTTACCTTCACTAAAGGTTCTCTCTCGTCATCTCTTCAAAGTTCTTTTCTTAAGTTCTGTCTAAATGACACATCTATTTTTGTTACTTTCATTACACAAATTAAACTGCAGGTTTTCATTCTGTTTGTTCATAGCTCAGATTTTTTCAAACATTTATAAATCTTTCTTATTGTTAGTTTTAAAATGCGATACGTCCCTTCAAAAAATTCCTCTTTCTAGTTGGTCATCTAAAAGGACCATTAAAAGAACCACTTCCTCTACAATTATCTTGATACTTAAATAGTACAATATTATCTGTGATGCAAATTAAAAATTCAGATTACTTAAAATTTTGTAATTTTAAATTCAGTTGCATGAAAATTCGTCGTTAGATTGTGCCTTTATGAACATCGTAGTGGACACAAAAGGTTCTTCGTTGCAAAAAACGTTTTCATGATGTTTTTAGAACTTTAATTTTTTTTCTCAAATTACTGTTTTAAATTGCTTTATATTTAAAAAAAGTTGTCCAAACATAAAACATATTTAAGACATTATATTTAATCATACTTTTAAGTTTTAGAAACTTCACAAAGATGTTTTTGAAACACAGAACGATTTTCGCCCACGAAGATGTAGCTTAAGATATGCTTAAAATGTCGAACGTTCTTAAAATAAAAAATTTTTTTTGTAATAATTAATTAAAGTTTCACTGAAAATTATGGTTAAACCCCTTAAAGTGTTATGATCTATAAAATAATTATAGGGGAGAGTGGGGCAAACCGGCCATACCTACGGTTTTTTGACTCTTGTGATTAAACGAATCAACCGATTTCATTTTTCGATGGCTTGTTTGAAAGATCATTTAATTGCGCAACTTTTTCCCAGAGGCACCTATACTTTATCTTTTATTGTTCAGTTGAAGTGTTAACTTTAAAAAAATTTGCAAACGGGCCGGTTTGCCCCACCCCCTGGGGTAAACCGGCCACCCCATGGGGCAAACCGGTCAGTTGGGTTTTTTATCTACAATATTGCATTTGTATAATCTACAATAACAATAAACCTAAAGAATCATGTGAACAATGGTTGTAATAATGTAAATAATAATACAGGATTGAATTTCAATTAAATAAATAATTTTTTTAAATAATAAAAATTTTTTTTTGAAATTATCAGACAAACAATATTAAAGTGTCCAATTCTCATTGGAAGACAATTATTTTTCATTGTAAGTAAATATTTTAATAAAAGAAACATTTTATTTAAAAATAATTTTTATGAAACTTTAATTCAATGGAAATATCCTATGGCCGGTTTGCCCCACCGAAAACGGTCCGGTTTGCCCCACAGGCTCATTTTGAG